CTAAATAATTGTATTTTCATCCATGACATTGCGTATATATCCTCTCTAAGAAAAGCATGCATGTATCTTGTTTTATTTTCCGTCTTAGCTTGGTGAATGGTGACTACTTTGAAATGCTTCTCCATTTACCACCGTACTATTTGATAAATATTACTGTTTCAAGGTTTTAACAATAACAATCTATTTGAAATTGCTTCTGATGTATGTTTAATTGTCTATGAACCAAACGGAATTGTAACTTGTGTTCTTGTACTAATTGGTTGTTTTTTTATTTCCAGATTGTAACCACCTTCAGTGTTTTGGATAACATGAAGCAGCAGTTTTATGCTCAGCAGGGGAAAATTTCCAGGTTCTGTAATATTTTGGGTGTGACCTTAATGTGTATTTCCTTTCTCAAGTTCTATGGGTTTGTTATGCTTTGCCAACTTTTGGATTGGTTGAAGAAATTCTGATGTGTAGATCGAGCTGTAATTTTGAAATTTCTTTAGAGATGTGACTCCATTAGGCTTTATAAATTCCAAGTGTTTACTGAAATTTCTGGGAAACTGCCATGTAATGCCATCTATAGAAGATGTTTCTCCATTCTCATGGTTAGCTATTAGCTTGTTATGACTGCTAAACTACCTCATTACTTCCTGTTTGGCTTTGCTGAAAAGTTATACTCGGCTGGCATTTTCATCCAGGAAAGATGAAGAAAAGGTTGTAGAGCTGTTTGATGCCATCAGCAAGTTACGAGCACAGTTCGAGTCCATTGAGAGGCCAAATCTTGAATTAGAGAACCCGGCACCAAAGACTGAAACACCGCCCACTGAGAAACAGCATGATGGTACATCTGCTTCGGTTCAAGGTTCCGCCGACCCTTCAAAAATGCAGACAGGCAAAAAGCCGAAGTCACCTACTGCCAAGTCAGATCAGGTCTTGGACCATGAAGCAGAACTGGCAAAGCTTGAATCTGAGTTTGGTGGAGTTGGTCAAGAATACTCCGCAGAGGAAGTTGGTGATTGGGAATTTGATGAGCTTGAAAAGGAATTGACATCTGGGTAATTCAACTACAACCCATTGACGTATATTAAATACTAGCTGTTGTAATTTTATGACAATGTACAAGTATGATATATATTGACAGGCTACATTATGTGCTGTGATTGTGGTTGCAACTTGTATGAAGCTGTGTAACTGTGAAGAGTATGATTTCTTCATTCTTGTGTAAATTACAATATTACATGATTTGTAACATGCCGACACCAAATTGTTTTTAACTTGGAAGGCAGTTTGTATGTAAATTTTGATGCTATACGATGTATATTTTCAAGATTTTCTGGTGGGAACAAATGAATCCCATTCTCTTCTTACCTCAAAAGAAAATAAACCCCACTGGGAGGGTTACGAGCTACTAAAATTTCAAGGCAGCAAGTTCTGGCTTTTTTTATTTTTAAGAAAGGCAAATTAATAGATACACAAAAAAGATTAAAGTACATGTATATAGTTTAAAAATTGAGGAGAAAAACTGAAAATAGTGAAAAAGTAGTCATCATGCCAGGTATTAATGTCAGAACTGAATTATATTACACTTGATGATATAAGCAGCCTTAAAAATCTCTAATTCAGTAATTTTATGAATGAAATGGTAAAGACAAACGACACAATTTATAATGAGTCGCACTATATGAGTTTTTATGAGTGCTTTTGTCAATTCTAACGGATCAAAAACTGCAATGTTAAGTTATTCAAAATCAAAACCTTGCAAGACTTTTATATGTGTGGCCATAAATCGTATCTTTTAAAAGAGATTATGGACTAAGAAACCCAATGATATACATAGTGTTCTTGATATCAAGAAGGCATTCCAGAGATAGAACTGGGAATTTGTCTTATATTTTGAAGAGCATCATGATTGTGAAGGGCCTGTTTGCCTCAAGTACAAGGGTACAAACCATAGTGGGGATGCAATTTTCTAAACCAAATCTAAAGCAATTTCTATATTGACTTGTGAGAGAGCTTGTTCTTTGATGTTTAACTTGTTCTGTTTTTCTTGTTCTCTTTGATGTTTCCAAAATCCCCAACAATTGAGATTCTTCTTTGATGACCGTTTCAAATATCTCTGCACTAAGTTGCTCTCTCAGCCTTAATTTGTGGATGGTGGGTCAGTTAGATCATAAACACTTATGTATGGTCATATTTTGTCTCAATCTTTCAGTCATAATGTGTCAATTTCCTTTGTCCCAGTTTATAAAACATCTTTTTAATAAAATTATACAAGTTAAGAAAATTCATTGAATATACTTTTTTAAAAGTACAAATATAAATTTCTAAAAATACCCTTAATTAATATAACCTTATTTGTGAAATATTAAATAGAGAGAGAATATAATAAGGAGGGAAGAGTAATATTAAAACAAGTATTTTTAATGAAAGCTTATAAATTGGGAAAAAGTGAGTATTTTAACTTTAATGTCCCACTCATTTAGGTCCTATTTGTACTATGTACTATATTGAATCATATAACTTAAGAAGTTTATATTCTTAATTTTATAAAAGATTGTGCAAAATTAGAAGAAAGAGTTGAAAATATCAAGGGAAAATTTGAAGACAAAAAGATTTATAAATGCTTCACATATGTTTTTTTAAGTGTTTTATATTAAGGATTATGATAAGTTTTCAGAGTAGATCTGGTAAATAAAACCAAACTTAGTATAGAAATTAAGAAAATATAAAATAAAGAAGTCTAAAATATATTATTAATAAGAGTTGAGTTCAGAGAAATGGGTTAGTATTTTAAAATATGATAAACCAATATTTAAATTCTTGATAGAAGTATTTATACTTAGTGCCTGATCGTGTCTCGAATATGAATGACTTTTATAGAAAGACAACAGTGCATGATAAAAAAAAAATTGTATCTAATATTACTAAACAAGTATCCAAAGCAATAAATAGGCAAGAGTCCAAATCACAATAAAAGTAGAACAAAAAAGATGGTTGTATTATGGAATAGCTTGTCTTTGTTGCTTGTGTGTTTGCAAAGAAACATAATAATGGGACATAACAATTGCGACATAGAGATAAAAAGAAGAGGAGGCCATGTTTGTTTTAGCTTGTGACCATAATTAAGTAATATTTAAGAAAGAAGTAAACCCCAAAATGTAAGGACTACGTTAAAAGAAATTAAAAAGAGAGACACCAACAAAAACAAGTCTTCACCTTTGAGAACATATAATGTGGTCACTACTTTCCAACATCCCCACCATTCCTTGTCTCTTGTCTATTCTCTCTCATTTTAATTTTCTGTGCATTTCGTCCAATACTTTATCCAAACACTAAAGTATGGCTGTTATATAACTACCACAAACTAAGTCATGCTCACGTGATGCTTCATTTTATGTCTCCAGCTATTATCTTCTTTAATTTTCTCTTTACCTATGTTTTCCAATACTTTAACCTTAAAATTAAAAGAGTGCACTATGTAACGTTTTAAAAACTTAAAGCTTAATTAGTTTATCAGCATGGACATTAGTACGATAAGATTGTAAGTTTCTCACTAAAAGCAAGTTTAAAGATTATATTATCTTTAAATGGACGTGGAGTCTGGTTGGAGAGAGAAAGATAAAATGATTTATGAGTCTCATTTAATACGAGACCCACCAAATTTTTTTCTCTTTTCATTTTAATTTTTTGCATATGAAGTATTGTCTTTTAGGATTGAGTTCTCACATCAATGAAAAATGGGTGTGTACACTTGTGTACACAAGTATGTTGATATTTCATCACTTTGAGATATCACTTGTGTTGAATAGTTTTTTTCCAGTTAATGTTGATTTAAAAGAAAAAGTAGGCCACCATGAACCTCAACTTTTTGAGAAGACGTGAGAATTAAGTTCTCTGGGCCCCATAAGAAATATTTCATTGTTTTAATGGTATTGATTTAAATTAAACACGAACATATAATCCTACCAATACAAATTAAATAAATAATGCCATACTTAGCCAGTTGGTGCTCTCTCTCTGTTTTTTTATTTTAAATTATGGCATCATATATAATTTTAAAAGTAGTATTTATGCATGTGTACTAATTACCCTAGTGCACATTGTAAGTTTCTCTTCCATAAATAACGTATGCCTGGTTCATCATAATAGAGAACTGTGAGATTAAATTTGATATAGTTTAATTTAGACTTTGAGTTTATTAAAATTTGATCTAAAAAATTTAGGGTTGTATTAGATTCTCTCCTACAAATCGAGAATCATGTTCAATATGATGAGGAGAACTAATTTAAAATGTTAGTATTAAATTAGACAATCCAAATTTAATAATAATATTTTATTTTTATATTTTTATGGGAAAGTCACTACAAAGTTCCTCATAGGATTCTAATTATTATAAGGTCCCATAAAATTTATAAATTATCCTTAGGTCCCAAAATCTTTATTTATTAATAAGTTTTATACATAATTACTAAAATACCCTTATTCTGTTTACTAAAGTAAACCCATCCACCACTGGCAGCAGGAGCTCCAGATAGTTGCCACCTTCCAACCACTGCAGAACCTGTTGGTGGCCAAAACTCTGGGATTGGTGGTGGATGGGTTGACTTTTTTTAAAAACAAAAGGTAAAATAAAGGGTATTTTAATAATTATACATAAAAATTATTAATAAATAAATAATTTAAGGCTTGAGGATAATTTGTACATTTTATGAGACTTACGATAACTAGAATTCCTACAAAATATTTTGTAATGATTTTTTCTATTTTTAATGACTTCGACTCAATGATAATAATATTCGAATCTAAAATAGTTAAATAGTTTTAAATATATATATATATATATATATAAAACATGGAGAATAGGTAGGGCCCACAATTGCCCACACGCAAGTGGGTTTATAAAAATATATTTCTCATCATCACCATCATATTATCATCACCATCACTGGTCCATGATATATTATATATAAAGCCGAGTTTGGTACGAGCTATCCCACCACACATGCCAAAAATGGCAGAAGAAGATGAATTCATCGACATGGAAATCAACTCTTGCTTCTCCAATTCTGAATTTGAGTTCCAAATGTCATCTTCTTCTTCAACTTCTCCAGCTGATGAGCTTTTCTACGAAGGCAAGCTCCTTCCTCTTCTTCACCCCCCTCCTCATCGTCTTCAAATGCTTCAACAACAACAACACCACCACCATCATCTTCCCTTACCACTCATCACTTTCAGCGATTCATCAATCTCCAATAACCAAACCCAAAGTATTCATTATTATAATTACCAGAAAGATCATGATGCCTTTCATGAGTCGGTCTGTGCCACTCCCTGCAATGTCTCATCACCTTCTCATCATGACATGGTTAACCCAGAAGAAGAAGAACGAGAGCAAGATTGTGTCCGTGTTGCTGAGAAAAACCAGATGCAAAAGAAGAAGAAGAAGAAGAAGCAGCAATACATGTCACTGGGTTCCAAGTTGAGGGCTTGGTTTGGGAAGGCAAGCTGCAAATGTGAATTAGCTTACGTGACAAAGAAAGTTGCAGATGAAGGTTCGGCTTCTTCATCAAAAGCTAGTAATAATCTGAGTGATGATAATTATTATAAGCAGAATGGGAAAGCGGGGAAGAAATTATACCCATTTGGACAGATTATTCATAGATCGGAATCACACAGATTTGAATCCTTCTCATCGAGAATCGAGTTCAGTAATAGAATAAGATCATCATCATCATCATCATCAGTTGCGAACCAGATTTGTTTCAATGGTTCGTCTTCGTTTTCTGGGCTTCCAAGCAAGTCCTATGGATTATGTCAGGAGCTTGAGACAGGGAATTTGATCATGGGAGCTATTGCATACTGCAAGCAGTCTCATCAACAGTATTAATTCAATTAGCAATCGTAATAATTTCAAAGTCTGAATCTGGTGTTAGGAATTTGCATTTCAATGAGCAGTTACAAAGATATTTACAAATTGTTTATATCAATAATGTATATCTTCTTGTTATCTAAGCATGATGCAATTTTCATGTTATTTTTATATTTTGTACTTGCTTAGTTAGACGAAGTTTTTGTGAATTACTAAGGTCCTGATTGGTTATTAGAAAAAAAAATAAAATGTATTAAAAAAATAAATGTAGAAATGCGATGATCCAAAGAGATGGTGAATCACATTTATAGGGAAGAGGAGGAATTATATTCATGAGGTTGAGAATTATAATTTATGAGATTTTTAGAGGGTGTGATAATTTTTATATTTGTAGTATATATTAATTAATTTTATCATGCTTACCATGAAAAGAAGAGTAATTTAATTCTTTTTTATATTGATTTTTTTTCAATTCATTCTTTTCTAATAATTAAACGGGACCTAAGGTCGTGTTTGCTTGTTCAAAAGAAATAGAATGAAACTAGGAAATGTGACTCGTGCGTTGCACGGGTAATTTGATGGCCAAAGTAATAAAAAAATTATTTCATCATTTTATTATTATTTTTAAAATTCTTTTATGTTGCATTAAGTTATAACTTTTATAACTTTACTATCTACCGCGAATTAATGTACCCATTCATAGTTTTAATGAATTAAACATAAGTTAAACTATAACTTAACCGGTGACACTGATACTATTGTGACATAATTGCGATCGTATCACTTATATTTTATTTATGTTAGAGTTATGTACTGTCGGTGGTATTTTCCACTCATGTTTATAGATAAAATAAATGGATACAAATAAATTGTATGACGCTCCATGTTAGAGTTAAAATATGGTGGGCCAATAGTTTTTAAGATTGTACAAGACATTTTTTACATAAACTGATGAATTTTTTTTTCTGTGTATATATTCCTTGAGTTATCGTTCCCAACAATGAAGAATCTATGTTAAAAGTAATAGGGAAAATGATACCCTATATATTTGACAGTGTGAAGGAAGTAGAACTTATACGCTGGCCTACAGTGTTTCTTGGAAAGAGTAGCAAGAGTGGTGCACTTGTGGCTATGGGTCACGGTTTTAGATGCTAAAAGAGTGGTTTCAAAGCTATTTCATCACCGCTCTTCGCCGTATTGAAAACAGTATCGTGTTTAGACTTGCAGTGGACGTTTTGTTGTAGGAATCAAGGCTCCAAAAACCCCAGAAATTGTCACACAATCTGAACTAAATCAACCTTTCGGAAGGATGGTAAGTTGATCAAAAAATTTCAATGATTCAATACCTAAACCTAGAAAAATAATAGGATGCAATCCTTCCTTCTGTTGTTGATTGATTTTATTTCAACCAAAAGAGCATTGCGGGGTTCAAGGACATACCAATTGTTTTAAGGGCATTGATCATTGGTCATAATAGAGGTCACATCAGGGTATGAGTTCTTCGTATAAATGCTAAAAGGGAACTGGAACATGACGCAGGCAAGCAATGGATTTCTCTAATTTTAGTCGACGAAGAGGTTAGTAGAGCTCCATTTCTTATCTTTTTATACCATGGAATACGTTGCCTGACAGATTTTATGGATCTGGACTTCTTTGAAAACAAAACCTAGCAAACTATTATACATGGTCGGTGGCCAAGACAGCCGGATTCACGTAGCATTAGGAATGTCATGTGTATTATATACAAGGTTTTGTTGCACAGGAAAGCTTGTATTATGGGAAACCAGTAAGCAACCCATTGATGTTAACATTTACTGGGACGACACGATCAATCGAGTGCAGTGGCAAGGACATTCCAGAACATATATTGGACATTACAAGAATAGTTGATGTAGTTAGAGGTGTTGTCAGCCCTGAAAAATTGATAAGTAAGATATACATCAATGCTGTAGGAGATCTTATATCATCAGTTTTTTTGTTTATTTCTTTAATATTGTAGTTGACATTGTAAACATGTTTTTTTAAGCCGTCTATTTGAATTCTATATATTCATAATCTTAATGATATGCAGATGTCTACAGGCTAATAGTAGATCTAGGTCCGGGCAAAGAATCAGAGGGGGGTGATGGCTGAGTAAAATAGTTTGGAATGCTGATCAAAGACCTAGAGTAAGTTTCATGAGAATAGTTTTCAAAACTTATTTAATAATGTGTAATTAAGTGGTGAATTATGAGTACTATTATTTAAATTTAACAGCAACACATTACTGAGGTGTCTATTTCATGGAGGTGTTGTTGAAGAAGCTTTTCAAGGTTGGGTAAACTGTGATAATAGGATGGAATGTATTGAAAAATAAAGGTAAAAATAGAATAATCAAAAAGGATAAATGAACATATTCATAAGGGAGAGGGGTAATTTAGTTGATAAAGATGAAAATTATGATTCATAAAATTTTTAAAAGGTGTGATGATTCTTGTAACATATATTGATGAGTTGTGTCATATTTACTATAGAAAGAAGGGTGATTTAGTTCATTGTTATCTTAAATTTTTCAATCTATTTCATTCCAGTAACCAAATGGGAGCTAAATGATGAGATATTTCCAATTATACATATGTATGTACATGTAATTTGCTTGCCCCATACAGATTTAGATATTTTCACTCTTGGATTAAAAATTGAACGGTTAAGATTTAATTTTTTATGAAATTATTATAATACAACATAAATAAATAGATCTAAAATATGTTTTGATAGCAAGATCTGAAATGTTGAAATCTGATTTGAATAGTTCAAATTATAAACTAAATATATACTATAATTAAAATGCTTAAAAGAATTTGATTAAATCACAATCATTGAATTTTTAATCCAAAAGTTGAGATGAGATAAGAAGAAAAAAGGAAGGTAAAATATAATGGGATGATCTAGATGCCATACATGCATCCATGTCTATCTACATATGATGTATCATACAAAGACGGCAATGTAGTCAAGCACATCGAGTTACTCGTTTAAGTTCATTTTTTTTAAGCTCAAGCTTTGAAATTTAAGATATTTTAACACTCTCTTTATCTGAATTTATCAGACCTTTTTGGAGAAAATTTGGTATTTTAAAATATAAAACACTTGGAGAAACGTAATATTTCATTAATTATAATTGTTCCAATATTATCTTTCCCTCTTTATTAGATTTTCTTTCTCTCTATATCTAATGCTTCCACAAATAAAATTATATTAAATTAAATATATTTTTAAAAATTTATATTTGTGTTTTAAAAAATAAGATTGTAAAGTATATTTAATAAACTTTATTGGTATGTGTAATTTTATAAAAAAATATCTTATAAACTAAGATCACAGGAGTATTATGAATTATTACATTGAACTGTACATATCCTAGTTATATTGAATTAATTAATAATATATTGAATTTTATCAAAAAAATTAATAATATATTGAACTAATGGGTCATTTTTGTTTAAACTATAACATTAACTCCACTATTAGTTCCAACTAGAGTATACAAGAAAAACAATCAATTGTTGTTGGAAAATGGTTTGCAGAAAATATAATTTGTGCTTGAACTTCTTTTGTAATGCCTGTCGAGTTAGAAAAAAAAAAAAGAAAACTCTATTCTTTAATTGTTCAGATATAAATTCTACAAGAATATTAAGTCTTAATGCAGAAACTAATCTCTTTTATAGGTTAGATTGGGAAAATGATAATTTTTTATCAATTATGTTTGCTTCATATATATATATATATATATGGAATTGAACCCCGGCCACTTGTTTAAAGTATAAGAATTTCTACATACTTCTTCCGTTTAAAAATATAAGATATTTTTAACTGAATTTTGTCCCCTAAAAAAATAGTTATCTACTTTTTAACTAACCCTATCTTTTCATATTTATCTTTATTAAACACCCTACAATAAATATAAAGTCATTATCAATAGGGGTACTTTTAAAAAAATACAATAATTATACATTGAAAGACTAAATATGCCATACATTTGTGAATATTTAACTTTTAAAAAATGCCTAACATTTTTGAACGGAGAGAGTATGAATTAGTTTGCCATTCAATAAAACATACCTTTTTCAAAAATTTAATTAGGCTTCATTTTTCAATTATAATATGCTAATTTTGTACATTTATAATTTAGAGTGAAAAAACATATGAGCATTTCTAAGAGCTAAATGATCAAATTAGAATGAATAAAATTATTAACAAAAGTATAATCTGAGGTAAAAAATTCATGTAGTAAATTGAAACTAAATAAGGTTAAAAATAGAATGAAATTTCAAATAAATTTAAAAAACTAATACACACACGTACGTATGGAACCAAATAAAATTAAGGGATAAAAATAAAAATATGGAAGTAAAGTTCACTATCACATTAAATTAATATTAAAAATATAAATAAAAATTCAAATAACATTAAAAATGACTGAAAGGAAAACTTGAAAAAAAGGTCTAACTTTAAGTATGTGATATTTGAGTATTCTTAATTTTTAATGACGCCCCACGCTCACATGAGTTCGCTAATACTGATGCATGATACAATCTCCCTACATAAAATTGACTCAATCAATATTTTCAATAAATAAAAAAATCTGAATCTAATATTAATTACTTTACATAGAGGGTCACTTGCAGGAGGGGATCTAGTATTGAGCATATGACAGACAAGTTGATTCATTTTTCTATCATTACTTTGTCATTCTACAAATTAAATACAATTTAGGTACACTCATATGTGGCGACCCTAAGAAACCATTTATTATTTCAAAAAAATAATGATATGCATGAGCAATTGAGCATAGAGAGAGAGAGAGAGAGAGAGAGAGAGAGAGAGAGAGAGAGAGAGAGAGAGAGAGAGAGAGAGAGAGAGAGAGTACAATTACATTAACTAACCTTTATCTTTCATTTGGATGAAAAGAAAAATAAAAAAGAAAGAAAATAAAAAAAAATAAAGAAAAGAGAAAACAGGAAAAAAATGTTGTCACTCCTTCTGTAAGAGAAAATAGAGAGGAAAGAAAATAAACAAATATAATAATGACTATAATATCCTTTATGTTAAAATATATCATGTTTCATATAATCATCTTTATATAAATAAATTTAAAAAATAA